GGATAACTGAGACGGAGTCTGGTTTTTTTCTAGGGTTTCCTCCATTCTGTCACTGATGGAGTTTGTGTTTGTCACTGTCGCCTCTAGCTTCATTAGTTGTGGACACTGAGTATTCAGCACTATTATTGATCTGACTTGTCCTGTCGCTATACGAGAACTGAGCTGAGCTCAGTTGAATGAAATGAAATAAACTTACTTAATAACTGATGATCTTTACACTGAACTGACTTCAGCTGAACACTGACAATATCTTTAGTTTAGAACTGAACTCTGTTCACATCAATAAATCATTATTTTTTTGATTATCTCTGTAAAGCTGCTTTGAAACTATCTGTATTTTATAAAGAACAATACAAATAAATAGGACTTGACAAAACGTCAGAGTAGTGTATAATTATGCAATTTGGGATGCACCTTCAGAGATAGAATAAAAACTCCTGTTATAATCACTGACGAACTCTACACTGAAAGTCAATCTCTTATCAGATCTTTTCTGAGAGAATTCGAATACGGGTTCAGAATGCAGTCAATGAGCGTGTGCACCAATCACTCTCCACTAGGGGTGGAGCCGATATTCGGAAAGGCACAAATAATGTGTTTTTAATACTTATACAAACACATAATACAAATATTTGTATTCAGGAACAAGAAAAACTTTATATCAAAAGGCTGCGTTTCCTCATGAGGCCGCAGTGTGTGAGTGACGTTCAGGAGGAGGTGACTGGCACAGACTGCTCCACACAGCAACAGAGAGGGCACGGCTGAGCCAAAAAACACTGAACTGCATCACTATTTTTGTTGAATAGATTTTTGTACCTCAAATGGGTTCTGGCGGCAGTTTATAACTTTCGGGAAGTGGAGTTTGATCGGGAGATTATTCCATGTTTGAATGTCAGAGGCCCGTGCCATTGGATGTGCAGTTGCCGTAACATAGCCTATGAGTGAGCCAGACGCTCAATGTGCTAGCGGTGCAGCAGCAAATGTGTTTTACATAAAAGCTTCTGTAAATCGAGGAAAAGGAGTTTTTCCTTCTTAGTAAATCGAGGATACAAACACAGATATAAATACTGGCTGCTTTGCACACCTCTACTCTCCACAGTGACCAATCACAATGCACCAATCACTCTCCACAGTGACCAATCACAACGCACCAATCACTCTCCAGTCTCCACAGTGACCAATCACAATGCCTCTGATTGGCCCCTGCATTCATGAGCTCAACAGAAACGGGATTGGTGAATGATCGACGCTGCAAACCACGCATAAAATAAATCTGAGCAAATCTACAGTAAATGTAATGCCACAATCAGCACTTTAAATCATGACAGCTTTAAGGCATTGCTTTATAGCCCCACGTCCCCGTTGATGTCAGACCCTGCTGTATGTGAAATAACATTTCTTCAAATGATTGATTTGAGCTGTTGATCTTTGTGGATCTTTTACTCATTCAACCAGTGTGTTAGTAATAATGTTTATGGGAATGTCCCACACTATAAGTGTGTAGTCTCCACAATCTGCTGAACTTGAGGCCCTGCTCATACTTCAACACTGTTATTTCTTTGGATTACAGAAGCTTAAGTTTGACAGTGATGAGCTATTTCTGGCTAAATAAGACATATGCATTTTGAAATATCGCAGAATATTTGCTGTTCGCCCCAGAGAAGTGCTGGCAGTGCAGATAGAGCAGCGGCTGAGATCACACACGGGTATCACGGTTTTAGGGTCACGGTTCGGTTTATGGTCATGGGTTCGATGTATCACGGGTTTAGGGTCACGGGTTCGGTGTATCACGGGTTTAGGGTCACGGGTTCGGTGCATCACGGGTTTAGGGTCACGGGTTCGGTGTATCACGGGTTTAGGGTCACGGGTTCGGTGTATCACGGGTTTAGGGTCACGGGTTCGGTGTATCACGGGTTTAGGATCAAGGGTTCGATGTATCACGGGTTTAGGATCACGGGTTTAGGGTCACGGGTTTGGTGTATCACGGGTTTAGGGTCACGGGTTCGGTGTATCACGGGTTTAGGGTCACGTGTTCGGTGTATCACGGGTTTAGGGTCACGGGTTCGGTGTATCACGGGTTTAGGGTCACAGGTTCGGTGGATCACGGTTTTAGGGTCAAGGGTTCGATGTATCACGGGTTTAGGATCACGGGTTTAGGGTCACGGGTTCGGTGTATCACGGGTTTAGGGTCACGGGTTCGGTGTATCACGGGTTTAGGGTCACGGGTTCGGTGTATCACGGGTTTAGGGTCACGTGTTCGGTGTATCACGGGTTTAGGGTCACAGGTTCGGTGGATCACGGTTTTAGGGTCAAGGGTTCGATGTATCACGGGTTTAGGATCACGGGTTTAGGGTCACGGGTTCGGTGTATCACGGGTTTAGGGTCACGGGTTCGGTGTATCACGGGTTTAGGGTCACGGGTTCGATGCATCACGGGTTTAGGGTCACGGGTTCGGTGTATCACGGGTTTAGGGTCACGGGTTCGGTGTATCACGGGTTTAGGGTCACGGGTTCGGTGTATCACGGGTTTAGGGTCAAGGGTTCGATGTATCACGGGTTTAGGATCACGGGTTTAGGGTCAAGGGTTCGGTGTATCACGGGTTTAGGGTCACGGGTTCGGTGTATCACGGGTTTAGGGTCACGGGTTCGGTGGATCACGGTTTTAGGGTCAAGGGTTCGATGCATCACGGGTTTAGGATCACGGGTTTAGGGTCACGGGTTCGGTGTATCACGGGTTTAGGGTCACGGGTTCGGTGGATCACAGTTTTAGGGTCAAGGGTTCGATGTATCACGGGTTTAGGATCACGGGTTTAGGGTCACGGGTTCGGTGTATCACGCGTTTAGGGTCACTCACGGGTTCGGTGTATCACGGGTTTAGGGTCACGTGTTCGGTGTATCACGGGTTTAGGGTCACGGGTTCGGTGTATCATGGGTTTAGGGTCACGGGTTCGGTGTATCACGGGTTTAGGGTCACAGGTTCGGTGTATCACGGGTTTAGGGTCACGTGTTCGGTGTATCACGGGTTTAGGGTCACAGGTTCGGTGGATCACGGTTTTAGGGTCAAGGGTTCGATGTATCACGGGTTTAGGATCACGGGTTTAGGGTCACGGGTTCGGTGTATCACGGGTTTAGGGTCACGGGTTCGGTGTATCACGGGTTTAGGGTCACGGGTTCGGTGTATCACGGGTTTAGGGTCACGGGTTCGGTGTATCACGCGTTTAGGGTCACTCACGGGTTCGGTGTATCACGGGTTTAGGGTCACGTGTTCGGTGTATCACGGGTTTAGGGTCACGGGTTCGGTGTATCACGGGTTTAGGGTGACGGGTTCGATGTATCACGGGTTTAGGGTGACGGGTTCGGTGTATCACGGGTTTAGGGTCACGGGTTCGGTGTATCACAGGTTTAGGGTCACGGGTTCAGTGTATCACGGGTTTAGGGTCACGGGTTCGGTGTATCACAGGTTTAGGGTCACGGGTTCAGTGTATCACGGGTTTAGGGTCACGGGTTCGGTGTATCACGGGTTTAGGGTCACGGGTTCGGTGTATCACGGGTTTAGGGTTCGGTCTATCACAGGTTTAGGGTCACGGGTTCGGTGTATCACGGGTTTAGGGTCACGGGTTCGGTGTATCACAGGTTTAGGGTCACGGGTTCAGTGTATCACGGGTTTAGCTTTAACTGAAAGCACATCTTAGCTAGATAGATAGATAGTTTTATTTAATGCCATGTCAGCATCTAAGGCTATGTGCAAGGCAAAAATTTATAAATACAATAAAATATTTATATACTTTACATTATAAAATATATAATATAATAAAATATTTATAAAAGTATACAATATACTTTTTTTTAAATTAACATATTATAAAAAATCCTAGTTTTGAGGCATAACCTTACTAAATAAGTCCTTAAGTGAAATAACTTCATAAAAGAGCATTATACTATTATTATACCCAGTCCAAGGACAGTCCAATAAAATATGTTTATAAGAGAGGGGGATCTTACAAATCATGCATAGAGTTGGGTCTTCTAAATATATCAGTGCCATTGTTTTGTCTTAAGATTCACACCAGTAATGTTTTTAAGGCACATTTATATAAGCTACTTAAGTGTCCTAATTAAAAAGCCCTAATCCTGGCTTAATCTAAACCTGTCTGTGAAACCAGGCCCACAAGTACTATCTTGAAGATTTCGGTTACACTGATTTTCATGAAGACAAACATCTCTCAGGTATCATTAAAAATGTAATTTATTGTGTGCTGAAGATGAAGGAAAGTCGTATGGGTTTAAAAAGACACGTAAATTACACGTTTCCCTTTGGGGTGGACTAACAATAACAGCACTGCATTATTAACATAATGATATTCCTAATCTTAAAGTGTATATCATATACTAAATCGTTCAAAAACAGGAGCATACTGTGGCTTCTTTAAAAACAAAACCAATGTTTAAAAAAAGCAGAGGTAGGTTATCCTGTACAGAAATATCCATCTCTCGTGCCCATAATCAACGTTTAAGCCTTTATCACCTGATGTTGTGCATCCCTAGGGAAAATTGCATGTGATGTGAATCGCATTCTGTAATTAACTATACAAGTTATTTTGCTTCTTTTTTTTAAACAAACAAAATCGATCAAATAAAAAGGCAGAATAGTGATGTTGGAATAAGTGCCAGTTCTTCTTTCATCACACATGGCAAATACAGCATCAGTACAGTAATAACGCGCTGATGCACAGATCAAGAGCTGTTCTTCTTCATATCAGGACTCATTATAAACGGAGAGAAACACTGGCGTTCCTGCTGCTTCAAAGCTAGTTTATAATCAATGTCATGTTTGTCGCATTGAGTGCGCATGCGCATGCGCAGCAGATCACACCCATCAGGGCTGACATGAGAAAACTCGTCTTTAACGTTCATTTTACACTGATGTAACACAGTGATCGAGCAGTTTCGAAGGTGCAGTAAAGATCAATATAAATATTGTAAGAATCAACCTAGACCGACCTTGTATACTTGTCCATAGGTGCCATTGCCGACCACTTCCACCAGCTCAAAAATGCCAGCAGGGTCCTGAAATCACACAAATGACCACCACATCGGTTAATAAGAGAAACTCTACGATGATTGCACGAATGATTTTGTGTCAGATTGTGTGAGCTCGAGAGTGTGTCGCTCCGCTGCCGTTATTATGCTTTACACGAGAACAGCGCGCGCCGAACAAAGGGCAACACTGTAACAATGAGCATTAGAGTTAAACACAGGTCGAGCATTAGAGTTACACACAGGTCGAGCACGACTCTCGATCTCACAGAAACACTATTGATGCATAAGGCCTGTCGGAGACAGAGTGAGTGTGTGAGAAGAGCACTCACGCGCAGAGAGGCGAGGTCTATGTCCACCAGGCTCTTAGCGGGCGAGTCGTTCGCCATCTTTCACCAAACTGTTCAGATATAAGCGACGCTGTGTGTATTCCGTTCTTCAGTCGTGTGGTGCCCGTTCGACGCTGTCGATCATCGCTATATTTCTGCGATAATCCTGAGAGAGCAGCGCAGGCCCTCCGCGGTCCTCTATTGTTCGCGATGAGGATGAGGATGATGACGATGATGAAGAGTCTAGGTCAGTATATGACGGAGTGGGCAGAGACACGGAGGGGGTGGAGACAGCGAGGGAAGGGGCTCTTCTAGCACACAGGCGAGGAAAACACACTATACACTGTATATACTGTAGACTATATCACTGATTCTGGAGATAAGGGACAAAGTTATTTAATACTTTATTATAAATGTATATAATTGCAGGCAAAGCTCTCAGCTAATGAACCATACAAGTAACAGGTTTTTATGAAAATTATTTTTTTTCTAAAATAAATAATTTATTCACTTAAAGTTATTATAACTTATTTTTTGTCAACTCCATCCGATGCAATAAAAAGCCTTCTATTTTAATTTGATCCACCCTACAACAGTGTAGAGTCTTTAATTATGTAATAATGGTGTTCAGTAAAGGAACTTGGTGAAAAAATAAAAGATTATTATGAACAATCCAGGTCCTAAATTCCTTAATTCTCTACCCTCCTTTTTAATATTATAATAATATGAGTTGACAAAGGTCCAACTGAGGTTTCAACAACTGATTGACAAGACAACAAATTAACACAAATAACACATTTTAAACTAATATTTATTTTAATACAGCAATCCTTCCAGGGGTTTGTTGTTCTCCTTTTAGCGGTAGTCTTATTCTGGGTCTCCAGTTGCTCACAGAATACAAGCATATCTTGTTTTGACAAAACGGTTTTAGTGTCTCCTACAATAGGTTTACGTGAAATTAAAGGTCAAAAACACTTTCATTTTTACTCTCTAAACTACTCTGCTCTGTTCTGATTTGTCTGACTGGTCAAAAATGACTGCCCATTGAAAATGAATGGGGGAGTCAAAAATCATGGATACAATTAGTGTTCAGGAGTGTTCATCATGTACATGTCGGATTTCAAAAATCACGGCGTTGGACCTTTGCTTGTGTGGATACATGCATACTCATGCATCCGCCCACACACACCGTTCATGTGCACAAACTATTTTGAGTATTACTTTTCACAGAAATGACCTTTATCCTCAAATAGTAAGGCCTACAATCAATCAGTTAACTGAAAGAAAAACAATTTTTTTTGACTGCTTTTTTTCTTAGCATGATTGTGTTTATGGGGTGCAATATAACATGTATTCATGGTTTTTCTTTTTTTTTAAAAAGTGTTATTTTTCATAAACTTCACCTTTATTATCAGCCGCCCTCTCCTCTGTGTTTGTTTGGGCCAGTGTGTTGTGATTCGCTAAACTGTTGCTTACGTTTTCCGGAAGGTTAACGCCCATTACCTTTACGGGCGAAACGTGCACATCATGAGCTCCGGTCCAGATGTAAATAAGGTAAATACTGGTGTCGAACTGCAGTATCAGTTTGAGGCAGAATTAGACCAAGAAAGCGGCGATGAAGAGAGTCAAGCAGAACCTCACCACACACGGCTCTTACTAAATGTTTCTGAATGATAATTTGCTACATTTTTTAACTTTATACACGTTTGTTTTACACGATAGCATCTGACTGGCAACAATAGCAACTGACTGGCTACTAAACAGCATTGGCATTAGTTTACGTTCTTGATCAAATTGAAAATAACGTCATAAATCATATATACATGAAAAATACATTTACAACATTAGTACTTATACAAAATTCAGGTCCATAATGTTTGTACACGTTTGTCGTAGACACAAAATAGCATAACTAGTAGCCTAGTGGCTATAAAGCCAGTGCTGGCATTTGAAAAAAAAATAAAACACAAGGCTACGTCTGGAATTATACATGCAAATACATTTAAAATGATGAAGTCTTAGCCTACTTACAGGTTGTGGCCCAACAACTGCTGCCTCTTGTTTTAAAGTTGGAACTGCTTCATGTTTTAGTAACATTTTCTTGTTGAATCCGGTGTTGAACTCATGGAGATTCTGGAAGCTGTCTTCTGTAAAATGCGCAGCACGGAGAGCTAGATTACGATCGTCATTTTCAGGAACATAATCAAACATAAATTGTATCCATTGTTCACGAAGTACAGCGTCTGTGGGAAGCCGAACACAGAAGACCTGACAGCTGCGTGAACAACACACTTGACGAAAATATGATCATGCCCTTTTCTGCATATTCCGGAGGGAGGGTTGATGTAAATGTGTAACCATAACCCAGCTGTAGTCCCAATCGAGTCGTTTTTGTTGGCAATTATACTTCCTGATTTTTAAAAGACGATATCTCTGCTTACATTGAACTTTCAGCGCTGCAACTTTGCAGATACTGTTCATGCACCATCAGCAACATTACACACTATTTAAAATCAAAAAAGTGAAATCACAATCAACCCCCCCCCTTTAAATAGACCTGCCAGCAGTCCAATTGCTCTGCTTAGAGCATCGGGCCGTTCACTAGAAGAACACACACAAGACTTTCTAGATATGGCATGCCAATCGACTGACCCTCAACTGAGCCATATTGTACCCTGGACCCTGAGCTCAACGGCCCATCTGACCATGATGCCTGTCCCTGAGGGAGTACTTGTGTAGTTTGAGGGCATGGAGAATAGCCCCGCCCACATCCCCGCCGCTATGGACAAGTATTGCCTGGCCTCTGGAAATCATATAAATTAGATATAGATTAAAAATACTTCTTAGAAAGCAATTCATATCCAGAGGAGATAGGTGAGAAATACTGAAAATACCGTGTTCAGCTCTGAAAGTGGCATTTCTTCCAGAGCCCATTAGCTATAGTTCAGTTGACTATGTGTATTTATGAAATTATATTGATTTTTATTTTTATTTGAGGAGGATATACCCCTGGATCTCCCCTTTCCACTGGTCCTGCCCAGCTTCAAGTCTCCTCCCTCTCCTGTGTTTCCAGAGTTCCCCCCCCAGCCTCCTCCTCTATTGAAGCCAGCCAGTTCCCCAGCCCTGCCACCGCTGGTTTCTGCCTGTCCCTCAGCTCACCTTCTGTGCCTGTGTCATCTGGTGGGTGTGGATATGCCTTGGGCCTTCCAGTCCCCAGCTCTATCTTAGTGTGAAAATCCCCTGTCTCCACCTCCAGCCACCGAGCCTCGAACTGCACCTCAGCCATCAGTTCCGCCTTGGTGACCACCAGAGGTATAGCTCAGATATGGCTCTTCTCAATGCGGAGACGACCGATGCTGCTCTTCCCGAAGCAGAGACGACTGATGCAGCTCTTCCTGAGGCGGAGACAACCGATGCAGCTCTTCCTGAGATGGAGACAACCGATGCAGCTCTTCCTGAGGCGGAGACAACCGATGCAGCTCTTCTTGAGGGGGAGACGACTGATGCAGCTCTTCCTGAGGCGGAGACGACCGATGCAGCTCTTCCTGAGGCGGAGACAACCGATGCAGCTCTTCCTGAGGCGGAGACGACCGATGCAGCTCTTCCTGAGGCAGAGACGACCGATGCAGCTCCTTCCGAGGCGGAGACAACCGATGCAGCTCTTCCCGAAGCAGAGACGACCGATGCAGCTCCTTCTGAGGCGGAGACGACCGATGCAGCTCTTCCTGAGGCGGAGACGACCGATGCAGCTCTTCCTGAGGCGGAGACAACCGATGCAGCTCTTCCTGAGGCGGAGACGACCGATGCAGCTCTTCCTGAGGCAGAGACGACCGATGCAGTTCCTTCCGAGGTGGAGACGACCGATGCAGCTCTTCCTGAGGTGGAGACGACCGATGCAGCTCTTCCTGAGGCGGAGACAACCGATGCAGCTCTTCCTGAGGCAGAGACGACCGATGCAGCTCCTTCCGAGGCGGAGACAACTGATGCAGCTCTTCCTGAGGCAGAGACGACCGATGCAGCTCCTCCTGAGGCGGAGACGACCGATGCAGCTCTTCCTGAGGCGGAGACAACCGATGCAGCTCTTCCTGAGGCGGAGACAACCGATGCAGCTCTTCCTGAGGCAGAGACGACCGATGCAGCTCCTTCTGAGGCGGAGACGACCGATGCAGCTCTTCCTGAGGCGGAGACAACCGATGCAGCTCTTCCTGAGGCGGAGACAACCGATGCAGCTCTTCCTGAGGCGGAGACGACCGATGCAGCTCTTCCTGAGGCAGAGACGACCGATGCAGTTCCTTCCGAGGTGGAGACGACCGATGCAGCTCTTCCTGAGGTGGAGACGACCGATGCAGCTCTTCCTGAGGTGGAGACGACCGATGCAGCTCTTCCTGAGGCGGAGACGACCGATGCAGCTCTTCCTGAGGTGGGGACGACCGATGCAGCTCTTCCTGAGGTGGGGACGACCGATGCAGCTCTTCCTGAGGCGGAGACAACCGATGCAGCTCTTCCTGAGGCGGAGACAACCGATGCAGCTCTTCCTGAGGCGGAGACGACCGATGCAGCTCCTTCTGAGGCAGAGACGACCGATGCAGCTCTTCCCGAGACGGAGACAACTGATGCAGCTCTTCCCGAGGCAGAAACGACCGATGCAGCTCTTCCCGAGGCGGAGACAATCGATGCAGCTCTTCTCGAAGCAGAGGCGAGCGATGCAGCTCTTACCGAAGCAGAGATGACCGATGCAGCTCTTCCCGAGGCAGAGACGACCGATGCAGCTCTTCCTGAGGCGGAGACGACCGATGCAGCTCTTCCTGAGGCGGAGACAACCGATGCAGCTCTTCCTGAGGCGGAGACGACCGATGCAGCTCTTCCTGAGGCGGAGACGACCGATGCAGCTCTTCCTGAGGCGGAGACAACCGATGCAGCTCTTCCCGAAGCAGAGACGACCGATGCAGCTCTTCCTGAGGCGGAGACGACCGATGCAGCTCTTACCGAAGCAGAGATGACCGATGCAGCTCTTCCCGAAGCAGAGACGACCGATGCAGCTCTTCCTGAGGCGGAGACGACCGATGCAGCTCTTCCTGAGGCGGAGACAACCGATGCAGCTCTTCCTGAGGCGGAGACGACCGATGCAGCTCTTCCTGAGGCGGAGACAACCGATGCAGCTCTTCCTGAGGCAGAGACGACCGATGCAGCTCCTTCTGAGGCAGAGACGACCGATGCAGCTCTTCCCGA